CGCGTGTAGGATATATTTCTGTCTAAAAGTATGTACCAAGACTTCAAAGTGCGATGGAAAGGACACACAGACAAGCAATTGCAGTTTTTGACGCGGTTCTTGATTTGGTCTGACTGAAAATATGAAAGCACTTTATTGTGACATATCATCCTCGGATTTAGGAAACACTAATGGTGCTACTGTTCTGTAAGAACATATGTTAGAAAGAGACCTATTGGATTTACCCCTTCGGCATCACACACATCTTTGAAATAAATCTGCAAAGCGTCTTTGAAGTAAACATGCCACCATCGGTATTATTGATGATACAAATGAAATGCTTCTGTTTCCAAGAAATAATGTAGAAAACGATCACCCACGGAATGATTACAAGGAGTTTCTAAAGTTAATAATTTCATTCCTTGGAGGTACTCCATCTCGCGGAGTATCTTTTCATAAACCAAGGGCAGTGCACCACGCGAGATGGATGGCAAAGACCACATATTGTTTAAAAATATTTGTTTTTTGATCTTAATTTCAATTAACTATAGAGGAGGTCAAATTTATTTCAGATATTTGTGTATTTATAGCTAATGTTTACGCGTTACAACCTTAGCGCTGTTTAAGCACCAAATTCAGAATTAAAAGTTTCAAAGTATTTAGTGCATTATAATATTATTGATCCCTATATGTTTAGCGTGGCAATTAATAAATTTAAAAATCACTTGTGGAATTTTAAGTCTAGAGCTGTACTTCTTGCTTTCTTCGATGAAAAAATATCATATGATTTTACAAAAGAAAATGATATCTACATTAAATAACGACGATACTGCAAATAATTATAATGAGAACTGCGTTAAAAGATTAAGGAAGCAGGATGTTCATGAAATTACTGAAAAAGAATTAAAATATTTCGTTTCTGCGGAAACGAAACTATTTTTTCAGAAATTAACATGAATACGGAATTTTTAAATACAGACCCTGCATCGTGGTTGAAACAAGATGCCTACAAACAGGGATTTGAAATAGTAACCAAAAGTGCGGTAAATGATGCAGCAGAGAGAGAGAGAGAGAGAGAGAGAGAGAGAGAGAGAGAGAGAGAGAGAAGCAGTTAAGTTAATGACCGATTACAATAAATATTTCACAAAAAATCAAGAACATAAATAGCTTGTCTTGCAAACTATACACAAGATTATCGTCGCTGCTACTCAGATGCTAGAAAGGATACATTAATGCAATCAATTTCATAGTTATTGTAATACAACTAGTAATTAGTTATTTTTTTTAAATAGATATTGAGTTAAATTAAAGGACTCACTATTTCTACAAGAAATTTCTTTGTATTCGCGCGGTGCGGCGTGCAAATTAGCGATGTATTATACATATGCGTAATGCGGATTTTACAGTATTTAAACGCTATTATCTTAAAAGTGGATGAGAGTACGTAAAAAATTATAAAAAATTTCACGCTCTTTGAATATTGTTTGAACAAAACTTCATTAAGACGGTCCATTTTTGAGATATTTTTTGTGATTTCCAAAAACATCGATATATTCAAAACTTTAAGGCCTGGTCGTCACCCTCTCCTGTTGCCCGATTGAAATAAACTTTTTCAGGGATCATTTTTTTATAAAATGCAACCATACTAGGGGGTGCGAGCAAAAGAAATTGGATATTGACAATTTAGGACCACCCTAATGGATCACGCATGAATAAAAATTTAAACTTTTACTCTTTCCAATAGACTTTTTCATCAATGTTATGAAGACATGGACGAGATTCTTTTTTTCCTGATGAAAATAAGTCCAAACACGACATAATTTGGACTATTTACATACAGTTTTGCATTTTCGTTCAAACAAAAATAATTGTTTATTTTACTTACATCTTATCATTTGCTTACAGATTGTAGTATTATACCTTGCAAGCATTCGATAATGAGAAATTACTTTTGAGTAATAAACTTTGTGCCATTCGTGCATTGCTTTACTATGCTGATATAGTATTAGATGTTTGAAACAACTGAGAATCGAGAACTGATGTGATGTTCCATTTATTCCTTGAAACTAAATTATTTTGTTGCTGGTGATATCTTGTGTAAAGTAATTGTAAGCATCTTACATTTGTTTGTAGGTATACGCAATGTGACACTAAATTAATAAAGAATAAAAACTAATAAAGAAAAATATAATAGTGTTAAATATCAGCAACAGTGTTGTTGATAGTGGAGTCAATACTTCAGAATATAATGAATACCGCATTATAAAAATATTTCATATGAGATTATGTACTCAGTTAATAAAGAAAATACAAATATAAAAGGTATAAGTTGTTTTTTCACGGAAGAAACGTCAGTACAATTGATGTTTCATTTTCTTTAAGCAGGATACAGCCCATTAAAAAATCTGTAAAATCGCAAAGACAATACTTATGAATGTATATGCTATGACTGTAAAATATATATATATATCTAGTCACTAACTATTCTTAATTTTTCCAACTACAATTTTCAACCGAAAAATTGGAGACAATTGTGTAATAGGTGCCCCAGCATTTGCAATGTATAAGATTTTTTTCACAATTTTTGCGTGTTTCTGAATAGGGAAATGCAACGAAAACAATTTTTATGCATACGTTATGTCGCGATACGGATTGTATGTTATTAAATATAGTCCGATTTATGTCGGGTTTGGACCTATTGTCATCAGGAGAATCTCCTATTCATAACGTTTTTAAGAATGTACACTGGAACGAGTAAAAGCTTAAATTTGTATTCATGCATGATGTATTTTACGTATTTACACTGTAGCCACAAGGTCAGTTGCCGCCGGCTTATAAGGTATCAGATAACATCTCTACTCAGCGTAACTTGGCTTGGCTGAGTCTCGAGTCTCCACTGACCTGATAAACCTGTCATCCGGGTTCGCTCAAGCATTCGAGCCGAGCCGAAATGATCGTTGACTTAAGTCGGCTTAAACCGCTTGATTTGAAGACCCGTCACTATACATATACAGGAGGTTTACGCGAACACTGTACAGACAGTTATTTTCTAAACTATTTGAAATACGAGTAAACTGTTAATACAAAATTGAATAGCACGAGGGGCTTAATTAACGGGCTATAGTGAATTTTTGTTAACATTATTAGATTACACGATATGAAGATCAAGTTTGGTTTTTTAAATTGGAATTGTATTTTTGTTTAGATCACTTGATAGGGCGTCTCAAGAAGAATTCAGTAATCTTCAATGTATTCACCCTTTTCAAATAGTTTTCGAGATATTGCGCTTACAAAGTTACTGATCTTCAACGGAAGGAAATCTGCTCGAATAGGAAGTACCACAGATGGTCTTGTTAGTGCCTCAAATGCAACGTAAATCAGTAAATGTGGAAGCGCAATATCTTGAAAACTATTTGAAGAAGGTATATACATTAAAGGTTAATGAATTAATTTTGAAACGCACAATCAAGTAATCTGAAAAAAATATATAATTCCATTTAAAAAACCAAACTTGACCTTCATATGTCTTAAAATAATATTGTTAAAAAAAATTCACTATAGCCCGTTAATTAGCTCCCCCCCCCCCCTGTGCCATTCAATTTTGTGTAAATAGTTGTCTCATATTTCAAATAGTTTAGGAAATAACGGACTGTACAGTGTGCGCGCAGACACCTTGTATACAGAAACCGACGATGGATTTGAGTAGCTGCGGTGAATATATTGACTCAGTAGCCCACCAGTGGGGAATGTGGGAGGTGCCGCCATGAACAGTTTTCTGTTGCTTTATTTCCCCGGAAATTCAAATGTATACCTGGCACAGACCGTGGCAACAACCTCATTGAACAATATAGTCGAAGATGTTGAAATATCAGACATTGAGTATGACGCTCTATTTAACAACAAGACATAACAGTTCGCACACAATATCCGTGGATAATGTACCCTCATGAGCAAACTTGGCCTCCACTAGGGGGGAAAGCAGCGTAAACTGTTTCTGTAAATTGATTACAGGTACTGAAATAAATGTTAAGTCGAATGTTAATTTGGCATAAATTTCAATAATTCCCAATACCAAGTGGTAGGAGCATGATAGGAGGTCCTTCCCCTACGTTACTTGTGCCCCTAGCGGAAGCCGAATTTGCTCGTGAGAGTACCTATATATGTGTACAGACTCTCTGCGGATAATGTCTGCAAGTGTGTACCACGATCGTATACACAGGTTCGGAAACTCCCGTCGTGGGGGTGATCACTTAAAGACGCCAACTGTAATTTTGAATTTTGCCACAAAGCGAGGGCACTACGATCTTATGGTTCAGTTATTGACCTAGGAATGGGACCTTGCTCTTCGTCTTCGAATTCCTAGGTCTATGGGTTCGATTCCGGTCGTATACATTCCCTGTGGCGCATCAGGACGCATGCGCCCATTCTTGCTTTTAAAACATAATGTACGTACAATACGATTGCAACGCTATGTGGCTAGCGGAAGATTCACGAAACTTTCGTTCCTCCTTACGGAATCACCCCCATCACAGAATTTTCCGGAACTGTGTATACAACCGTGTCTACAGAGAGCAAAAAGGTCACGCATTTTTCATTTGATTTTGCCGCAATTTTGGATCCGCTGAACGAAACGACGTCCACAGTCAAACAGTTAGGAATATTCAAAACCTTTTGTTTTTCAACATTTCTTATTTACAAAAAGTATGGAATTCAGGATCAAAAATACTAACTCTTTGTGTAACATAGAAATAACAAAATAGTTTTCTATATGTAAGCAATTAGCTACGTATAAGCGAAATTATACTGTAACGTGTACATATTTTGGCTGAAAAGGAACAAAGAAAAGAAAAAGAAAAGCATACAAAATAGGCTTACAAAATGAATGGAAGTATCCATGAATTACCAGATTCAAAAATTGAAAAATTTGTATACGATGGCATAATATTTTAATTAATTGTTTATTTTCCTCGCAAGGTGAAGAAATGCTTAAAATATCTGAAGGTAGGTTATTGATCTTTCAGACATATGCAGACCCACCAGTTACCACCCCAATTCAAAACCGGCCGAAGGATGATAAAGCATTTGATAACACGGCATTCGTAGATTATGAAGAACCGCTGTCAATAAAGACTGATTATTATCAACTCAACGATATTTTGGAACCAAACGATTCAGGCAATATTTTATTGCTTGTTACTATTATATTTGACGGCCTATAATCAGTATTTATTTAATTCGATTTTCTTTAATTTGTAGGTATACTTACGATCCAACAAAGAGGAACGTTACGACCTCATGTCAGCTCGCCGACAAGAATCGAACATCCAAACTTACCTCCCCTTAATCTTCATCCACACAAACGATCATTTCGGAAAGGCTCAACCACACTACAAGCGTCAGATACATTGCTAAGACGCAGTAGCATCACATCAACCACCTATATTCCTACCATATAAACTCAATGTCCGATCGTTTTTATATTTAAATATGCTTATAATAAGCAGCATGTACAACCTAAATTATCGATTTGTTATCTTCGCATACATCTAATAGCGGCGTAAGTTAAATAAAACGACATAGTCGTTCGCTGATATCTGTTAATTAGATGTACATTCTATCTATTCATTTAAAATCTACATAATTAATGACGGCATCAAGTTAGACAACTTTAGATATACATATATACAGGTGTCACAAAATTTAAGGAGTGATTCTATATTCTAAACGAAGACGAAAATAAAGAATCCAATTTGTTTCTACTGGAATAGTGCAAAAGACATTTTTTTCGTCCAGAGCGGGGTGGAGGCAAGGCCTCCTACTATCCCTCGCCCTCACCTGACTACGCCCATGCTGGTAACTATATATCTGTTAGGTACAGGTTCTATATACCTGTTCCAGGCACTATACGATTGTCCTGCCCGCGGGTGTGTATTTAACCAACACACACTACTCACATACACACATGCGCGCGCGCGCAATATCAGAATCTACAACTATTAAATTAAATTAAAAACTATATAACTACACTAAAATCTAACACTATTAAATTAAATTAAAAACTCGAATAAGGAACACAATTTTCCGTTTGTGTCGAATTGTATTCTTGTTAACAATTGCGTTAAACCGTAGAAACGTTTAATAAATTTTAATCCAGGGGATAAAAAACAGATAAAAAGTAAACCACAGTTCGAATAGCGTCGAACGTATCAAACTCACGGCATTTGTTTTCAGTAGAGGTACACAACTTAGATGTTGCTACTGGTCGAGTAAACTAGAGATGAGTTAAGCAATTCAGTTTTCAAAAGTTAGACTTCTTTAAGGAATAATAGTTATCAAATTTAATTTCATTAGTTGGTTTATTTGTTAATTAAAAAACAGCAAGTTATCAAAGTTTAATATTTCATTCAATCAACCACTTTTCATAAATATTGTATACTAATAATTCTGCTCGGATTTAATTTGCGGAAATTGAAAGTTTTGCTACAATTGACACGTGTAATACGCATAACACACGTCGACGGGATAGTCGCGGTTGCGTGTATACGCGCGTGTGGGTAATATGTACAAGCGAATTTATATGAAAGAAAATTTACCTTCCCTACTTGACAATCTCATAGGACGGATTTTGATAAGCTTATTTCGTTTTTAGCGAATAAGTTTAACCTTCAATGTCGTTCAACGACTCGTATTAGATGTTCTAGAAAGTTTTTGAAAATACTATTGCGGTATCGTCTGGCATCGTATGTTACCGTATGTGTTACGAGGTAAGCGGGTTTTGCTAGGTGTCTATAGTGTCGATGGTCATCCAGCGAGTCAGTGAATCAGTTGAATAGCGCGCGCCTACAGTAGGGTATACATATAACCCGTCGTAGCAGACGTAGTTTACCCGTATTTTCAACATTTAGTAACTTAGAAACGAAGCATTGAAAACAATTTCGTTATTCGTGATTTTCGCCTCAGTATGGCATGCAGAAACACCCATTAAATTTTCTGACGCCAGCAGCCGAACACCTTGCATAGCATTGTACTACCTACATGTTACATTTTTATTGTGCATGAAATATCATAATACATAATAAAATTTCGAAATATGAGATTGGATTTTGTTTAACACATTCGCTGCCAGGCGTCGACAGTACATTGTTGGTAATTTTGACGACTGATATTCGTTAAACAATCGGCCGAAACATCAAAGTTGAACGTTGAATATAATTAAAATACTGATAGTCGAATAAGTCACAATCACTTGAATGCGAAGACGACGTGTGTGTGCGTGTGTGGATGAGAATACGAATCGGTGGCACGTGACATGTCCTTCACAATTTTCTGGTGGCAGCGAAGGTGTTAAAGCATTTATACGAAAGCTTTATGCCTTTCCTTGATCAAAGTTCGATACGTTACATTTGTACTTATTTAATAACAATTTTTGCACTCCTGTTATTTTTATCAACGAAAGAAAAATTTAATTCTTGGTATTTTAATATTCCTAACGTGGTAACAAGTGTCGTAATCAACATTTATTCACCAATGGCATTAATAGTAATGAAACGATGTAGTTTATCCATTTCTCAGTCTGTATATTTCGTTTTTAGATTTCTGTTCCAATAAGTCCGTTCATTTAACATTAAAACTTTTGACATTTCCAGAGACGCTTAACACTAGATATTCATTGCTAAATCGTTACGCAAATTTCACACGCCATGTTAACTTTGTTTCAATATATTTTGGAAAAATTTTAAAATAAAAAAGTTAACTTTCTTCTCAGTAAAATTACAATTGCAACAACCAGAGTGATTATGGGACGGCCTTGTTTGTAAGTATGTGCATAACTCAATGTACAATCTAGGTTTTGTTGGCCAAAAGTTTAGCTGATAGTAGTCGAACATCGTGTGTGACTTTGCTTTGTCTGCGGATCGAGATACGAAAAGTGGTTGTGTGGAAGACAATTGCACTTGACTCTAGCTTTTCTATATCGGGTAATTCGGACGCACCCGGTAAATAACGACGCAGCTGACAATGAGTCATAAGCGAAACCTTCTCTTGTGATTTCCGACCAGATAGAATCCTCAGGCACAGATCAATTTCTAGGATTTTTAAATTTTTTAACGCGTAACTTTTAGGATGAAATGAGTGTTCTACAATTCGTATGGATAAAATAAGAAAAGGCCATCTCTATGCAAAGGTCTCAACCTATACACATGGAATAAATCACTCGTGACTAAAAATTTTAACTTTTACTCTCTTCGTTGTACTTTTATAATAGTGTTACGACAAAATTGAAAAGATTCTCATAACGAAAATAAGTCTAAACAGGACTATTTTCAATAACACGTCATTGGGATTGCAATATTACAATAAAAATTGTTCGATTACACTCGAGTTTAGATTCTTTTTGATCGGAATTAGGAAAGTCATGATAAAAACATACAATAAAAGTAAATGCGCTATGAATTTGTAACAAAAATATGTTTATGCAGTCCTTACACTATCAATAGAATCAATAATTTCATTTTATATTAAAAGGATAATAAAATCAACAACTTTTTTCATTTTTGTTGGTGGCGGAAATTTAGATAACGCTAAATACAGGGTGACTTTCACTGCGCAAATCAAAAACTGTGCCGCTGTAAAGAACCGCCCTGGCAGCACGTATCTGTGTGTAGCCCCTGTGTCGTCGACAGTGATTGATCGACCGATTACACATGTCTACATGGCGGTTCTTTAGAGCGGCACGGCCTTTATTTTGCACAGCAAGAGAATCACTCTGTATAAATTAACTAAATAATACAGTAATAAACATGTCTATTAACTTACAATTAGTGCTTAAACTTGTCGATTATCTTAGTACGTGTTCTTATACATATAAGTGGCGGTCAGCCTTAATTTCAGAGGTACATACATATACGCAAAAATATTTTCAATACTACATATAGTATTTTGTAGGCCGAGTTTGAGTTAAGCATGGGTTAGTCTGCTTAATCCGCACATGTGTGTATACGTGTTTTTTTTTATTACGAGGTCAAGTAACATTTTCATTGTGTTGCCTGTTAGTGTGGAGATTTTTAGTCACTAAAACCACCTCCTTATCGTTCATCAACTAAACCCACAGAACTGCAATTAAGCATTACTTTGTAAGGTGGCAATAGCCTCAGCTCTTCTGTCTAACAATAAGTGACTATTTCCCAGATCCCTCGACTTTGTATGCTTTGTCTCTCTTCGTTGTTGGTCTGCCCGTCGTAGTTCTTTGGCGGTAATCTGTAGACTGGAAAAATGTGAAAAGGAAAGGAGAGGGAGCGTTTCGTTCTGGGCCTGCTAGTGGACTCGTCGGTAAGGCTACCTAGCAGACCCTGCCTTAGACGCGGGGATATACGATGGTCGGTTAAGGACGTATATATACGAACGAGGAAGGCTTCAGGTAGTTGCGGGAAATGTGTCAACTCGGTAGACCTCTGATGGCGAATGTAGGAGGTAGTGCCGCCACAGTTCTTTCAGAATTACTGCTGAAAATACACAAAATGCAGTCCATCTTTTCTTAGTGCATAGCATCTGTGACACTAGAGTTTCCGGGGAAAGGTGTTCACCGACTTCATAATCCTCTAAATTAATGCGAACATCCTTAAAGCGCGGACAGTGAGAGAACATAAAGGGATATGATAAGATCGGATGCTGAATTATCAAACTCCTTTATTTTTCTAACACGAATTGATTTATTGCATGAAACTTTGTGCACCCACAATGGAATCTTGACTTGTACTTAATACGACAATAAGCTTTGTTACAATCCTTATTTCGTTTGAGATGACCCACTATCTGTAAGTTCCCCATGTGTTCGTGGAAGGGGTCGGAAATACTATTACGTCTTTTTCGCGGATAACGACCGAACGTCGAGTAGAAATTGTTTTGCCGCGTGTATCGATGTCAGGCGACGCCAATCGTCACGACTGTGCGTTCGGCAGTCCTTCACGCCGTTACGTTTAGTGCGTATGTTTCTTTCTTTTATCGTCTCCTAAATAACCGAGCCACCTTTCAGATATTTCGCAATCTGGACAGTCTGATGACTCATCTAGCTTAAACCTGAATAGATAAACTCGAAAGTATCCATCGTTTCACTGCAACGAGATAGAAGGGTGTCGTCCCTGCGATGGTTAGTGCTACATCTTATGATACATTGCGGTATACAATAATTAGTCACAGCCCGTACAGGCGTTGGACTCTCTGCATTTTCCTCTTATAAGATGCTATTTTCATAGCATCAACACAGACCGATTCTGTGTACATAATTAATTATATGATCACTGTTGCCAGCAAGTATTGAATGCGTTTTTTAATGTCAAGTATTATTACGGCACAGTACTGTGTGGCTCCCCTTTCCATCACTTGTCCTCAATCGCTTGCCGTGCTGTGTTTACAACGACCCTAATGGTATCAACCCTTGAGTGCGCCTTTCTAAAGCCATACTGATGAGCAGCTAGGTCCACAGCTTGCTCTATAGCTTTCACTACCCTGTTGTAAACAATCCACTCCAGAATTTTTCCAGCCGTGTCTTCCATACACAGCGGTCGATGAGACGATGGCTCTATTGGGGGACTCTCCTTTGGGAAGCATTAACATCTGTATTTTCCAGTGATGCGGAAACAATTCCTCCA